TTAAATTAATTATAATAATAATAATAATAATAATAATAATAATAATAAAATATAATTTAATGATTGAGTTTGATACTTTGATGGAAATTAAATCAATGTTCAAATCCCTATGCATTCAACACCACTGTTAAGGAGTGCTATTAGCACTCCCCAACATTAATTAGGGGAGTGTTAATGGCACCCCCTTTCATGTCAGAATCAGGTCATTTCAAGCATTGAGAATGTAAAAAGCATGTATTGATGTTGATGTGTGTGAGAAAAAAATTCATGGATAGGGATGTATTAAGCAATGCATAGGGGTGCATTTAGCCCACTCCATTAATTATGTGATTATGAGCATCTTCTCTCTCTCTATGTATATAAAGAGAGAGATAGAGGGAGTATGATGCGAAAAAATAGACCCCTATATGGACCATATAATTTATTAATTAAAAAATAACATAATTTTGTAATATATATATATATATATATATATATATAGAGAGAGAGAGAGAGAGAGAGAGAGAGAAAACGGGGAGGTGGACAAATGCAAGGCACGTCTTGACAAACGATATTCCAGAAATATGACATACTACACTGAAGTTTTTTCTCCTGTCGCATGGTGGGACACAATTCGAGCAATCTTAGCACTAGCAGCCGTAAAGGGTTTCAAGATATATATATATATATATATATATATATATATATATATATATATATCAGTTGGACGTGAAAACGGCTTTTCTTCACGGGAAGCTGACTGAGAATGTGTATGTTAAACAACCTCTCGGTTATGTAAAAAGTGGTAATGAAGCCAAGGTTTACAAACTAAACAAGGCACTCTACGTCCTTAAACAAGCACCACATGCGTGATATAGTCGGATTGATGCGTATTTCAAAAAGGAAGACTTTGTTAAGTGTCCTCATGAACATACATTAATTCTGAAGTCAGATAAAGAAGGTAACATTTTGATTGTATCACTTTATGTTGATGACATGATAGTTACAGGAAACAAAGAGTCTATGGTGGACGAGTTCAAGCAATCCATGAAATCTGAATTTCACATGTACGAGTGTATGCATCATATGTATATATAATATAATAATATGTAATATATTTGTTTATTCCTTAATTAGGATAAACACAAAAATAAGGTGAAAAAGACTAAATTACCCTTATATTTTCGTCTTCGGGTAGAAAGTGTAAACCACATGGATCAAATCCGTAATTTACTTTCATAAAGGTAAAACTGGAAAAAATGTTATCTAATCAGAAATTCTCAAATGAAATGTATCATAGTATAAAAACATCTTTTTTAAACCCATCATTTTCGTGATGAAAACACCATTTTAACATGAAACACAAAATAAAACAAAAGTTTATGAAAATCTCTATATTATTTAAATTTTTGTAAAAAAATATAACTTAATTCATGTCTTGAATTTTATAAAAAAAATTGTATTATTGAATTTAAAAGAAAATATAAAAATGATTGAAAAAAGTTTATTGGTTTACTACTCAAATTATCCATAGAATCCAATTCATAAAAGATTAGTTATTTATCAGAATAGAAAATATATGTAATTGTTTACCATATATGAATTTTATGCATGGTAAATAGTTACTTTACCATATATGAACTTTATATATGATAGATAGTTACTTAAAAATATTAGCAGAAGAGTATTCGTACAATGTAATGTGATACATCTCGATTTTAATATTATTTTTTTGTCTCAGTCGATGTTATAATACAATTTTATGTGGTTTTGAGAAAACGATAATATTTTTATTTTTGAATAAAATATAAATATGAAGATATATCATAAAAAAATTAAAAAAGAATTATTGATATTAGTACCAAACTAACTATTTAAAATTTCTCTTTTTTTATATTTCTATATTTTTTTGATCTAATAATATATTTTTTATAAAGATAATAATTAAGCATTTTGTTAAAACTCAATGATTATCCTATTCAAAAATGAAGTTTTATAAGTTGTAGTTACGCACAATCTACTAGTAATATTGAATTTTAAGTAATATGCATCAATAAACAGTACTTCATGCATAAAAAAAAGTTTTTAAGAATTTTTATCAAATGCTTTATAATATAGTATAGATACTTTTGAAAATAGTTTACGTTTATAAATTTTTTTATTTCATATTGGAACGAAAGAATTCATATCGTTCCTCATGGAATAAGAAAATCACACATTTGGATTTGTTTTTCATTTTCAAACATAATCTGTTTACATTATTTTAATATTGTATTTTAATATGATTTTAGTTCATCATGTGGATTGTAGGATACACTTTTGTTTTGTTAGATTTGTGTCAAAATCCCAGGATAATTAGATTTAGGAGCCGTTTATCAAATACTTATCCAATAAGTGTTTATCTGTAAAATTTAACATTATTATTTACTTACCAGACAAGATTTTAGTTTATCAAAACGACATTGTATGCAACAATTCACCCGGTAAGTGCTTACCGTGGTAAGAGTCGTCGCTCTCACTTACCGGGTAAGATTCTTAGTTCTTACCATATTCATCTGATGAAGTAATGTGACTTGGTAAACACTTACTTGGATAAGTGTTTGGTAAACGATCCCTTAGATAATTTTTTATCATATATTGTAACTTTCTTACAGAGTATTTATAAACAGTAATTTAATGGGGTTTCATATATTCTCCCATGGTATCAGAGGTATAGTCTACCAATTTAATGACTCAACATTTTAGGACAATCCGTATGCATCTAGCCCTTCACCCAACGTTACGATTAGCTTGTAATTAGTCTTGCCAACATCAAACGCTTGTTTCGACAAAAATGGCTAACACCGAATCCGTTAACATATTTGGAACACCAAACATCTGTTTTCATTAGTTCCCATTTTTGGGAAGTTTCCATTTGGGCTTAACAATTTCAGTCGAACTCGTGATAGAAAGATTTTCAATGTTCTAACAAACACATATTTTCAACAAGACATGGGCTCATGACGTCATGGTCTCAATCATTGCCCACTGGTTATGGAAAACAACGATCCCCCATAAGGTGCGTCACGAAGAGCCATGGCTGCTTAATGAACACACGAATAATTTTCTCGTATAATTGTGGTTGTCGTGTGTACCTTAACTAAACCTATGGGACCGGACCTGAAGTTAACAGTCAGAAAAATCCCCAAGTAGCCATGAAGAAACAGAACTGACACCTATGGGAAAGAGCCCTAAGGCCTGGCCTTCGCTTGCCGGTTGAGTAAGGTTAAAACCAAAAAATGAAACCATGTTAAGAGGGTTCAAATGGGAGGCAACTGTTTCTGTTCTTCTATGCCAAAACAGTATCCAATAATCCAACTTTACTACTTAAGATTCTCCGAAAACCAAGTTTACCGACGTCTAATAAATTCCATGTCTGCAAAGACGTGTTCATTTTTTGAAACAGGAGGAAGTTAGAAGACCAAACAGACACCACGACGCAAAAAAGGAGCGAGCCATGGGGTTGATTATATGTTGCTCGTTTGTGGCCAAAACGTCACAGGTTCACGAGAAACTCTGCCTTTGTCCCCAAATCATATCCAATTTATCAAATGACCCAGTTTGGTAAAATTAATTGATAAGCTAGATAACAATATAAAATGACCTAAAAGGTTAACAGAAAGAGTACAAGGGATATAATTGGGGAAAAAGCCCCTCAAACTTAATGAAACACTATTTGAATAGCTTTTCAAAAAGTTAGCTAATGACTAACCAAATGAGACTTTTTCAATAAGCTCAAAAAATAAGCCGCCTTGTGATTGCCGAACAGCTACCCATGAGAAGGCAGCAACGATAGGGCCAACCAATCGACAGGGTTCATGCAAAACGCTCCCTTCAGATGAACTAAACAAATTTAGGTCATTCGGCCAATGGGTGTGCCTTTCAAACGGAACTGATAGCACTTGGCAGGAATCGAACTTAAAACTTCATGCCACGTTGAACCACAAAACATCAAGATCTTTAATGAATATATATATATATAAGATCAATCAAGTTTATGAATTTAGAGGTTATGAAACTAGAATAATATGAATTATCTCCTGAAAAGATCCGCAATTATAACAAGTTTCGAAATTTATCAGAAACCCATAATTTACAACAAAGCAGAACTGATCTCTACACAGCTAAACTAGATAATGAAAAGAAGTAGAAGGCTTACAGAATAGAAACATAATTTACCAAGCAATCCAGTATGAGATTCGCCATTATACAAGCTCAGTTTTTGTAGTGATCCTCTTCGCTGTTAGTCCTCATGTTCGAGCTCTCAACATATCAATCACCATTCGCCTTTTTTGCCTTCACCATCACCCCTATCATCAACAACGCCCGACTCAATTCAACAATTTCTCGATTAAACTCTCCTACCACCCAATTTCTAGTAAGCAACAATACGGAAAATGGTTTATTTTAGCTGTTTCAATATACAGATTGGAGACATTAACCTCTAAAGATCAAGATATAAAGAACAATGGCTGATACCACAATCAACACTAATGCAGACTCAGAATCAACACTAATTTGAATAGTATAACAACAAAATGTAACTAAGAATTTGCAATTTTGACCGACAAATACCAATGATTCCACCAAAAGTAGCAGGAACAGTGAAAAAGTAGCCTAACACTATAAGGGAAAATAAAGAAAAAACTTTCTGAATCAAAAATCAAGAAAGTTAAGCGTAATTTGACAAAGTGAGTAGATAAGAAAGAGAAGTGAATGGGAATGGGAATTACCCAGAGTCAATCAATCATCTCCAGTTGGAAACAAAGTCAGAACTTTTCTACCATTTGCTGATTCCAGATCATCCACATAAGATGATGGCACAGAATTATGAATTGGAGTCCCTACCCTATGAATGGGTTGCTGTGATTGTCTATTCAGAAATGGATGCTCAAACTGCCCATTTCGCGGCGACCCAAAATGACCCACATGCCCATATCGTGGCTGCAATTGAGGATGATGTCCGGCGGCAGCAGCAGCCGCCATCTGCTGCTGCTGTTGCAGTGCAGCAACAGGGACGTAGGGCAAGTAGTGTTCAGAATTGGGTCGACCCTGATGAAGAAAATGAGCCGGCACCGGAGAACTCGCGAACAAATGATCGGTGGCAGGGTCTCCACCGGAGCCGTTTCCACCACTGCCGGAAGAAAGACCCTGCATACGTTTCAAGTAAAGCCTGTATTTTTGTAGATGGCTAGCGACGTTCTCGCGAGTCAACCCGTCTACACTCATAAGCTGCATTATGGTCTTAGGTACGGCGTTCTTGATCCCCAAGTGGGCCACAGCATCCACAAATCTCTTGTGAAGCTGCGGGGTCCACACGAGCCGTGGGCGTTTGAGGGTGCGAGCTGGCTCATCGCCGGCTCCACCGCCACCCAGCTCAGGCGAATCGAATTCCCCTGAATTGGGTTGAGAGGAAGGCGTCGAAATCGGTGGCGGTTGTTGTTGGTGGTGATGAAGCGAAGGAGGATGGTGCGTATGTGGGCTTCGGATATCGAAAGCGATGGCCAGATCAGGTGTAATTAGGGTTTGAGTTATGGGCATAAGGTCTTCCGGCGATGGCAGCTCCTGTTCCCACTTTGAAAACCAATTGGAGTCATCTTCCCTCATTTTCTACTTTCTAGAACCAAATAGTCTCAAATCAAAAACCCAATTGAGGGAATTTTCATGGAAATCAGTTATTGTTGGATCAGAGGTGGAAAGATTCGAGTTTTGGAGAAAGGGGATGGGGGAGGGGTGTTCGAGGTGGATCTTGTTTTTATTTTCTACATTTCAGCCTTTATTACGGTGGCTTACTGTTTCTGATGCGGCTGGGCTGTTTCCCTTTGTCTTTCTCTTATTTATTTCTCAATGCAATAATCCATGCTCCCTCCGTTCCATTTCCACAACACATTAAAATAATATTATATATTACTTTACCGTATATGGAAACATTATAATATATATTACTTTACCCCCGACATAAAATGCATGTTATTAGTCAGCTTTATCTTCAAGAGCATCTTTAACAGATTATTATTCAGAATATATTATATTTTTTTACCTTGCATAAAATGCATGCTATTAGTCAGCTTTATGTTTGAGAGCATCTCTTACAGATTATTTAAAATATATTATATATTATTTTATCGTATTACGAGATACATGTTATTAGTCAGCTTTATGTTTAAAAGCATTTCCAACAGATTATTCATAACAGATTCCTCAAAACCTTCTTTAAAATAAAGAAAATAGAAGATAGAGTGTGAAATTCTCCAAAAATGATTATTTGTTAAAGAGAAAATTATTTTTTTTATTCTTTCTATGTGTCAGAATCTTTGAATTTAAATATACAGCAGAGATAAATAATATTTTATGAGATATAGTAAATATTTTGAATAATATAATTAATATTGTAATCTCCAAAATAAAAATATTATATATATACATATATTACTTTACCTTATATAAAATGCATGCTGCTAGTCAGTTTTAAGTTTAAGAGCATCTTCAACAGATTAATCAAAATTATTATATTGTTATTTTATAGTATTACGAGATACATGTTATTAGTCAACTTTATGTTTAAGAGCATCTCCAACAGATTATTCAAAATACATTCCTCAAAACCTTCTTTAAAATAAAGAAAACAGAAGATAGAGCGTGAAATTCTCCAAATTTTCCAAAAATAATTATTTATTAAAGAGAAAATTATTTTTTATTCTTTTTACGTGTCGTCGGAATCTTTGAAATCAAATATACAGGAGAGAGAAATAATATTTTATGAGATATATTAAATATTTTGAATAATATAATTAACATTGTAACCTCCAAAATAAAAAAGTTGTTGGAGATGAAAAAAAAAATTAATTTAAAGATTTTGACTTTTGATTCTCTCATTTTAGAGAATGTGTTGAAGATGTTGTAACAAGTTCACAGTTTTCGTAATAGGAAATTAACGGTATTTCATGAACATAAGCATGGAGGATCAGTATCGTATCTGTTTTGGTAAGACGTATAACTCTAAGCATGAACATAAATAGAATATAAAAACATGAATCCGTATACAGTTATATATATATCATATAACTTATGTGCCACAAATGCATCAGAAACATAATTATTTGAGATACAAGACTTGAAATGACATAGTAGGGCCGGAGGGGTCTTAACTTGTTTACCTTGTCTTAATCAAGCCTAGAGGTGTCATGTGGTACATGTATTGGCCATAATTTTACCAAGTATAAAGATACCATTACGATTCATGTACCAGCTTCTTGCATCGTTTGTGGTGTCCAACCATGTCACTGTCATCGTCCCACTACATGACGTGGCACATATAGCTGAAACATAAAATAGATAATGCATATGGCATGCGTAAAGCTTTGAGACATAAACACAAAACATGCACATACAGTCATCATAAAGTACGTAGAAACAATATCTGTGTTTGTATCATTTTGGGAAACTCTTCAGAAATTTCAGCTCGATTTGTTTAGGCTAGATTGAACTTGCTTGCACGCTACTCATTTACATTTCTAGGTATTTATATCGATCATAAAACATTTAAATTGTCTTATCTTTGCATTTAATACTTCTACGAACATCGTTGCATCAAATAAGGTTATACACGACTTTATACGCAACTTTAGAAGTCATGCATGGTCTCACTTGAGTTCAGGGATATCAGGAAACTGTTATGAGCCACCTCGCCTTGACTAATCAGCACAATCTCATTCGCAAGCTCGAAGCTCACATTACATAACATGCACGACTTTTTTTTGGCAAATTCTGTATTTACCTATGTTTTAACATTTGCGACCTTCGTACTCGTGTTTGAAGACAGAGATTGTTTTCTCTTGTTTCTTAGTCAATTTATTTCATTCTTCTTAAACAACAATTACCTTAACATTTCATGTTTAAACTTGTTTATCATACCATAGTAACAAAATAACACTTTTTCATTCAACTGTTTCTAAATGCGAGGTTAATGGTGTCGTTTCCTTAGGTTTCTGCTCATAACTTCTCCTCATTCCACCGTTAACGTGTAAAGCGTTTTTCTCTCTATCCACATTCATTTCTAACGTGTTATGCTATACGCAATCAAGTCCATCTCTTTGATGAATTAATCAGTATCCTCTTTTACTTCCCACTTTCAAAAATGACATATTTACCCCTTGTCTTTCACCTTATATACATGTAAGCGATTTCTTGGGGTGTAACAGTTACAGAGTTTTTCGTGTACGATCTTTTCTTTCTTCCATGATCTTTGTACCTCCTTAAATCGCCTTCACCATCCTCCATCTTAAGCCAAGGGTAAACAGAATTAATATTCTGGGTCAGAGCCATTCTTTGTCTGTACGATTTTATCACCTTGATCATGTATCCATGTTTGTGCTTATTGTATATGCAAAATCCATTCTTGCTATGATATGCATAAAGGGAAAGGTCAAATGAAACAAAACAACTTTAATTAAGTCTTGAGCTAAAAACCAAGTAACACTTCAAAGGTGATCAAGACAAGAAAATTGCAAAACTCTAAAGTATCATGATTTGGTTCAAACATTATCCAAAACAATTATTCATGGTTAAAATAATAAATAAATAAATAAATAAAATAAAATTTTGTGGGAGCACCCTCTTGGTCTATGGCCCATAATTCCCCTAATAATTTCAATTCATTATAAATCTACTACCATTTTATTTATACTCATTAAGGGATCGTTTACCAAATCACATTACATTATTGAATGAATATGGTAAGGACCAAGAATCTTACCCGGTAAGTGAAGGCAACGACTCTTACTACGGTAAGTGCTTACCGGGTAAATTGTTACATACGATGCCGTTTTGATGGACTAAAATCTTACCGGGTAAGTGAATGATAGTGTTAATTTTTACATATTAAGCACTTACCGGGTAAGTGTTTGATAAACGGCCCCTAAGTGGTTACAACAATTTTTCTTGATATATGTCCTTAAAAGTAATGCCTCTAAACATGTTTTGATTATTTCTTCCAAATCAATGTTTTGTAGTTAATATCCTAATGAGCAAATTGCATCAAAAAGTAACATACTTTACTTTGATTTAATTTTTTTTTGGGTAACATATTTTCAGAACTTCAATTTTGATACCTAAGATGTAAAGTTTTAAATATTTAAGTATTTGGGTAACCAGTTGAAACATTAATCGGTTACCATGCTGATGTGGCGAGTGATGGGATGGAATTGGGTTAAATAGCAAATAATACAGAGTTGGATACCACATCACTCGCCACATCAGTATGGTAACTGCTTAATGCTTCAACCAATTAACTGGATAAAATTAATTATGAGTAAACTTGTCCGCCACAACATTATACATAATTTAGTGTTACCAGTAGTTATCTAATTGCCATGAATCCTTTCTGTTTTTTAACTATGGAATTTTCCATTTTATAGGAACTTTTGTACCCTTGAAAATGTTGTTTAACGGAAGTTTAGCTTTAGCTGAGTTCATCAAGACCATGAATATTTGAATTCTTCTAATTTATTTTTATGTACTTATTTTATTGATTTTTAGGTCAACATTACTGTAATTGTCATGACTACCCCAACTTTGAATATGCATGTGTATGCTAAAATACGTAATCGACTCTTCACCATCAATATCGACTACACTTGTATACAAACAAAAAACCAATTAACATGTATTTCAAGAAAACGATAAGAAAGAAGCACACACACACACACATACACATATATATATATATATACACATACACCAACGTCAAATGAAAAAACAGTATACGGTTCTAGTAGGAGACAACTTGTCGACTTCTTTTTCATTACTGCATACCCAAAAAAGTAAATAAACGTAGTGCATAACTTGTTATAAATTTCTAGATCCACCACTTATTGTAAAATCAAAGTAAGAAAAAAACAATCAAATACTGTATGTATTGTTTGTATCTATGCATACATGGGAGGATTTACTAAGGCCATAGTCGTAGCACGTGCCACCGTTCAATTTATCCGTCATAGTTGATAAGTGTCACAATATTAGACATATAGCACATCCTTAAGTTATAGAAATTATAGCAACTGTGGTATGTTTGTTGAAGAATGGAATAAATGGTTGTTATATCATGTTGAACAGAAGTAGATGAATGCATTTATTGTGGTAGCCAACGGTTTTTGTTGATAGTGATGGTGTCCATGATCAATGAGGATACAAGTGAAGTGTAGACCATGTGAAAATGGTATTAGAAGCTTCCTTTAAATATTGTATTGCTATTTGGATAATACCCTTTTCAACGTTGTTAACTGTATGCCTTTTGTAGCCATCCCTTTCTTGTATAAATAGAGATGTGCCCTTGCATTTAAGTCATCTAGTTGTCTTGTTTGTTGATCAATTGGAGGGGTCATTTGTTTATCTCTTAATAGTTCTATTAAGAGACAACATCGGAATCGTTAAGAGATGAATCTTGTTTGGCAAAAAAAAATATGTCTCTTAAGGGTTCTAAAACCCTCTGAATGCTTTTGTATCCCAGACGTCCCTTAACCATTCAGCGCTCCAATTCCATAGTAAACAATTACCAAACAATTATATTTCATTTTGCATTATATTATGAGAGTCTCTTAATTATTCTGATCACTTAATCATTTTGCATCAAACCATTCAGCAACTACTAAACAACCCCTTAGACCAATATGTAAAGTTGTGAATGAAACGGAAATATTT